GGAAAACAAACCAAACCAACTATACCGGATCAGTTGCCAGGATCGGTAACCAGAGAAAACAAACAAGCCAAACCAACCATACCGGATCGGTCGCCAGGATCGGTCACCAGAGAGGTCTAGCTATAAGGAAAGTAAAAGAACAAAGCAACCATTCGGATCATACAACGTCACAATCCCTGAGTCGCTGATCTCGCTGATCCGGAAAACATGATCGCTATTCCACGGTCGCTGATCTCACTCCGACAGTCGCTGATCTCGCTCCGACAGTCGCTGATCCTATAGTTCTTGCTCGCTGATCCGGGAAAATTGGTCGCTGATCCGAGAAAATTGGTCGCTGATCCGGGAAAAGTGGTCGCTGATCCAGCAGTCGCTGATCCTGGTCGCTGATCCGGACCCTCAGTCGCTGATCGGACATTTATTCATAGGTTCACCACCAACCTAGTCCCCAGGCAAGTCCACCTCAATTCGCTCAGTGTGGACTCCGGACTCTGGAGGACGAGCCACAAAGGCCCTCAGAGGGGACTCAGTGTAGTTGGCCCAGTCACCCCAGGCAGAGCCTGTCAAGCCATCCTGGAAGAACATGCCTTGGCATGTGCAGAGTGGGGGAGCAGGCCGGCGCGAGTCGGGCTCGCGCCAGATTTTTTATCCCGGATCGGGGGGACAAGTTCCTTGAAAGGAGTGAGTTGGAAGCGGTTCAGCATGACCAAAACAGTTCGACAAACTGGGTATTTCAATTTGATTGAATGGGCAATTCAATTCAACATGCTGCTTCAGACCTGCCAACAACCCCAAATTCCTTTAGATGCACCAGATTCCGCGGCATCTTCGAAGACACCAAGCATTTGCATGGTGTATTAGTGTACTTCCTTGACGAACGGAAGACCACCTATCTTGCAAGGTGCTACGTGGATGACTCCCCTGCAACCGAGCCGCCGATGATCGCCATCATGGCCAGTCGTCCGTTTGCAATCTCTGCATTCCTGGCGGCGCTGAACTGGACTCTGATCCAATCAGTCTGAAAATACCCCGCTGAAAACTGACATGGACCATGAAAATCACTGGTTTGTAGAGGAAAACAGTCTTTCAGGGTGCCATTCTCAGGGTCCATGTTAGTTTTCGGGAGTGTAACCCCCTGAATTGAAATAGTCAAGTTTGGTGATGGCGGTGGGCGCAAGAGAAACATAGACCCTGATTCGCTGGCGCACCAGTGGTGGCGGCCTGTCTCCTGAACTCTACCACCCCACTCTGAACATAAAAATGTCCTTTTCAGTAACCGGACCATCAGCTCTACCTCTGCTAAACATACTCCAAAAGCTCCCAGATAAAACAGAGATGTCACTGATGTAACTGCTTTTCCAAAGAGCTGTAGAAATGGCTATGAGTCCAAGCCCCACAAAAAAGGTGAACATCCACTTCACCGCACCTTTTGCCATCTCTTCCACTTCTGTGCCCCACTTGTCTCTTTCGTGGCCCAAGAAATCATACTTGGGACGCCCATGTGGCGGCCGAGAGGCAGCTTCTTCTTCTTGATCTCGGGGTCCTCGATGGCTTTGCCGCCCAAATATCCTGGAAGCCCCAAGAAGCCATACCTCAACAGATGGAATGGAGGGCAGCAAAGTGCGGTGTACTCTGGGCAAAATGATGTGTACTTCAAATGAATTTGAAGCCTTTCAAGTTGAGTAGAAAGAAGGTTGATACTTAAAACTTTTATACAGTATATATAACGGGTTAAACCTGGACGCACAGGAGGGAAACAACACAAGCACAAAGAGTTTCCCCGTCTGCAGATGTGTTCAGCACAACTCCGACTGCGGAAGATGGTTCCTTCATATTCCCATGAACATGTAGTACCGAACTGCATGACATGTCTTCCGCACCGAAGAGAGGATGTTTGGCTTGGTATCAAAAACGTTGTGCTGGGTAATATATGCGGGTATGCAGCACAGGAAAGTGTAGAGAGTTGACAGGTTGATAGTGTTCGACTATTTTGGTGTGCCGCTTCACAACAAATCCTTCTGCACGGTAGAAAGTATACATGGTCCGGTGAAAAGAAAGTTGTGTTGAATTCACAAAAGATCACAAAAGGATATCTACACTCTACACGGTAGAGGATATGTTTTCCACACAGTGCATTTTAAAAAGTAGCAGTAGCATGTAAAACTAGAATGAAAGAATAAAAAGGATTGTTTTGTCTTTTGCGGACAGTCCGAAGATGGTACTAGCATGGTTTCCAACTTTTTTCGAGCCTCCTCAAGAGCAGGCTCTGGAACCACCCGCAGAACCTACGGCTTTGGAACCTCTTCTGGGACCTGTTCCAGAATTTGATTCGAAGGTATCTTTTGCTATAGAAGATCTGCTAGCTTGTTATTGGGGAAGAAGAAATCTTAAGTAAATCCTTTGTGTGGAGAACTCACAAAAGCAATCTAAGGAGATCTCTCCAAGTTGCTCATAATTGGTGGCACCCTCACCGAAAAGACGGGTGGCGAGCTTTCCTGGTGGGTTGGTCGGCACCTCAGGAAAGTGAACGTCTTTTCGTCGCAAAAACCAGCCCAAAGACCAGACCTAAAACCTAGTCCTTTACCCCATTGAGTAATGTTTTGTAAGTTTTGTATGACCAACTCCTCGACATACCGCGACCGGATCTCTCATTGTATGACTGGAGGTTTCCCCGATGCACCGAGAATCAGACGATGCCCCTTCACTTCGTGTCCGATGCGGTCACGTGTCAAGTGCTCAGCGAGGCGGTCACTGGGTATGCTACGTGTCGATATGCTACAGTCACCAGCTCCTTCATAAGGAAAATGTCTGGCTGCAGAGAACTGCATATGCTCCTTTTAAACAAGAAGTACTGTACTCCTTTCGCTGATGGAAATGCACTGAAAGACACATCTCCAGTCATCTCCTATACTCAAAAGGACTTTTTATGATTGCCTTGTTCGCAGCTCCGTGCAGAACAAGAACCTGGTGTTCAATTCCCCAGTTCGGGATCTGCCTGGTGCATGAGCCAGAGATCGCAAATGCCGCAGAAGATTGTGTACCTTGCAACGCCAATTTCGAGGACTTGGCGACTGGGCTCGGATCCAAAAGGGTTTTTGGAAAGACCACCGCCCATCAGCACGCTCCAACATAGTTACGACTTAGTTTTCTTTGAAGGGTGATAGCTCAGAGCACAGTGGCAAGCCTCTCAAACCCATGATCGTTGGTACTGTTGGAGGAGCAAAAACCAGTGAATAACCTCTGAGATGACAAGTCCCTCACTAGTTCAGTGAAAGAATGAAAGCATGTCTTCCATCCACCGTAGAACTTGAAAGCGTATCATTCAGATACAACCTCCTTCAAAGGGAACCTTGTTGAAAACAAATGCAATTCCTAGGCCTGGAAAGGGCTCAAACATGCCAGTGACAATCGATTAGTCTTGCTCCCTCCGTTGTTGTTTGCTATTTTGACATTTCCCTTGTGACCGTGGCAAACCCAGGTACATGCGTGAACCAAGCCGTTTCCCCAACATCCAACCGCCCAACAGCCCAACTCCGCTTCCCACCCACCGACCCCAAAGCGGTCGTCTTGCTTACCAGGTGGCTGGAACCATCCGACCGCCGGCACCTTGGTCGCCGCCGCCAGGCCATTGGGCACGTCGGTGAACTTGATCTCGCTGGAGGGCGACAGGAAGCCTGGCCGAGCGAACGACGCAAGCGCGACCAGGCAAACGACGTGGACGACCAAGCGAACGGAACTAAACCACGAGCGCGGGCGGCGGACCCGCAGCTATTTTTCTGCGGTTGCGACCCTTCGGAAGGAGCGATTCCGGGGGGGTCGAGAGGGGCAAGAGAAAAACTTTGATGCTTTGCGGGCTTCTGGTGGCAAGGTTAAATCAACTTGAAGTCCTGGTTGAGGAAAATATCAACGGCGACCATTCAACGTAGGAAGAAAATGACACTATATAGTTTATATAAATTGTTTGGCAAACGATGGCAAACGCTTCTCTGGGGGAGTACCAGGTACACCAACTACACCGACTTCATCGGCTTGTTGTTGTGATCTGGCTTGCATCTCTGCGTTGTAGCCGGGTGCAATTTCCAAAATGAGTGGAAATTAATGCACATATACCCCTCAGATCTGAAGTACAAAGACAAGGAAGGCTCTGCTTTGGCTTACTTGAACCACATGAACATGAGGTTGCTCTTGAAAGCCCACAGTAGGGATAGCCCAAAAGTAGCAACAAGCCCAACGACGCGAAGCAGCCATCCCACACCCTCCCGTGCTAAGCTCGAATCTGGTGACTTGAACCTTTTTTCTGGACAATAGGTCCTTTTTGGGGGGATGTTGCTGATTGCTTGGAGACCAGAGTCTTGTGCTGTCATGCTGATATGATGCCCCAATGTTCACAACCACCTTATACTGCCTTGTGGTGAGGCCAGAGTCTTGCGCTGTCATGTTCTCCCAAATGCACTGACTTCAGTGTTCACAGCCACATCATATAGACATTTCCCTTTCACCCCATGGACCTTGCTTGGGTACTACTCGATGATGTTTCTCTGTGTGGTGGTGGATAACGTATGTGTCAATGGTTTATCATGGTTGATGATACTAGTGACTTCAATACCATCATGCTTGTTTTTGATTTACAGGGGGGAGTCCGCCTAAACCGGGGGAAGGCGGACTACCTGGAAAAATCCGCTGTTTCTGATGGTTTTTGCCACTGAATTTCCCGAAATTAGTTCGTTGACACGAAGTCGTGTTTTGGCAGCTGCTTTGGCTCCAGCAATTTGCTTGAAGCGCCGTTCCAATGAGATCTGGTGGTGGAAAGAAACATCCCATGAAAAGGGGCCCGAAACCCAAGAAGAAGAAAACTCAGAAGTTAGGCAAGGCAGCTACCCTGCCAGGCCAACTTTGGGTTTTGTGGTTGAAGCATGTACTGGCGCATGGAAGAGCATGGTTGTACATGGCGCTGGTCATGTCCCATCTTCTTTGCCTGCGCATTACCGAGTGTTTGCGCTTGACAGCCGAAGACTTTTCCTTTAGGGCTGGCACCGTGTACATTGCCCCGATGAAACGCCAAGATGCGGTTCGGAAACCTATGTTACCTGAAGTCAAAGCACTGCTCCAAAATTTCAAGAAGAAAGGCGTGAAGAGAAAACGGACGGAAGAAAAGGGATCCCGTGGAAAAGTCACCTGGATCGACACATGGACCTGGCCTAAAGAAGGATTGCTATTCCCGGCTGACCGTTGGGACTGCTGTACTGAAGGCAAAAACAAAGACACGGTGTGCAAGGCTATTGCGCGATTGCGTAAAAGCTTTGAACACCCAACTGATCGCCCCATACGATCACATTCCGGGAGGCAAACCATGGTTAATACTTTGAAAGCCACAGGGTTGCCGGATGCCATATGCATGTTTTATGCTCGCATCAATGACAAGCAAACATTCGCTGGCTATGGGGCTTTCACCGCTACTCAAGCCAGTGAATTTTTGAAGAAAAGCAAGCCCCTGAGGAATTTCTTGGCTGAGATGTACCAAACCAAAAAAACCAAAGTGAAGAAAACCAAACAAAAATAAGAAGAGCTTGCTGGCTTGGCAGCCCACCAGCCAGAGGCTCCCTTACAGACTTGTCTACGAGCTTGGCATGTGCGCACTACGGTTTACCAGCTCGGCAAAGCCCAGCTGGAGGCCGTAACGCTGGCACAGCTCGGCCACGCGCCAGCTGTTGCTACACCCATAACATTGCAAAAATTACGACGATGTATGCTGGACTGCTTTCCTGCCGCAGCAAAGACTGCTATGAAAAATAACCTAAGGAAAATATTACAATTTCAAAGAAATACTGAATAGTAAACGACCAAATGTGCTCGTATTCAGCACCTTTATTCGGCCATATTTGCGCAAGCGTTCCATTCAATGTCTACATGTCTTGCATGGTGGGCCCAAACAATTATATTCAGAGTTTCATCATGTCACGTTGCCGGGAAGCCAGGGTGTGGTAGGAAACCGGGAAGTGGTGGGCCTTCGTAATTGAATGGAGTACTCATTGCTAAAATGGATCTCGGTTGAGTCGATCCTTTGGGGGCGGAAGGTTATTGCGTATGATTGGTTTGGTTGCCCTTTCCTCGATTTCCCACCTTTCTCACGCGTTCTCAAAGGTATTTCGAGGAAAAGGGTACCTAGTGGTCCACTGCCCCCTCATCCCCCGTCTCACTTCGTTCGCAAAAGCAACTTCAGCCAGCGCCTTTGGTACCTAGTGGTCCACTGCCCCCTCATCCCCCGTCTCACTTCGTTCGCAAAAGCAACTTCAGCCAGCGCCTTTGGCTGGCTTTTGTCCAGACTTATTTACTTTAGACCATTAAAATATACAAATAAATATATATATATATATACTTATTTATTTATTCTTGTTTTTGTTATTGTTGAATATATATATATATATACACATATGTATATATATATATGTTTTAAATATTCAAAAGCATACACACATAATTCCAAAACTCTATCTAGACCTCCATGTGCCTCTTTGCACGGCAATATTCTTGAAGAAACATACAGCAACAGAAGTACAATCAAACCACACTTTAGAGTTCACCTCAAACCAATACGATAGAGAGAACAAACAAATTACAAACATATATAAACATAGATGAACATATTTCAACAATTTATAGATCGATAAAACAATATCTGGCTCAAGCCGGCCCCACCGGGCCGTCGTACACTACACATGCTCGCACCAAAACAGAAACTCTTTTCCACAGCTAGCAACTGGTGCGTCGCAGGCGCATGCTGGAATGACACTCCATGCCAACCGGCGCGATGGTGCAAAGCCAGTTAAGGCGTTCCAAAGCTGGCGTGGTTCAACCTAGCTTGGTGCGCATCCTCACTTTTGCAGGATTTATGCTGGTAGCAGAGCTGTGGTAGCAGAGCACACTGACTGAGGAAACGCTAAGTCCGCTGAGTTTTAAACCTCGTCGTTCTCTACTTCAGTACAAGTCTTGGTCCATAAATTTTACTGGGTTACCTGCCCAAAATGTGAGGAAAAGTCAAAAGCTACCGGGCCACGAGGCTGGGCTCAACTACTCAGACGAAGGGACCTTGGAAATCTCCACTGCTGACTTCGGAGGCACTTTGAACGCTGCCTTCGTCATGACCATGGGTCGCAGAGGCTGCAAACCTTTCTGGGCCACAGGGTTCCATTTAGTTGCCCACACGATGTGCGTCAAATCCGTCTCCCAGCGAGAGCCTTCAATGACTCCTGCCAGGTGGTGCATTGGAATTTTCACATCCTTCGATTCCGTTTCTGTCTTCACTGGCACATCGTCACCACGAAAGTAGATGTCATGCTTCCTTTGCAAAATAAAATGCGCTGGCTTCCCGGCTTGAGGCTGGTCCACAAAAGCATGATACCCAACCACGCAATCCGGAACTGTCTTGCGTTTCTCAGCCACCAAAGACGCCAAAGTCACTGCCTTGCCATTCATGGCTACCACGTCATCTGCCGAGGCCAAAGAAAACAAAATGTCCTTTTCACCAGCTTCTTGGTGCGGCGAAGAACTCTTTTGCCAGAACTTACCTTTGTACCATCCGGCCACCACTGTGCCAGCTTCCATCGAAATTTCCTGCTCATTTCGGTTTACCATGAAAATGCGGCAGCCGATCGTGATAACCACGTGGCAGGTTGGGGCGTTCCGCTTTGGAGCAGGCAACACAGCTTCCCATGTCATGGGAATGGGCATCTCGTCCACCGAACACACCTTCAAGGCCGGAGCTGGCCCAGCGGGCGGCACCACACTGGAACCTGAGCTGGCCTGGCCTCGGGCTTTCTTTGAACTTGGTGCGTCCTCTGTCTCACCAGCACCGCGCTTGCCAGTGGGCAAATCCAAAGGAAAGAGTTCCCTGCTTTTCTCCAAGAATGCACGGAAAGCTGCGCCATGTTCCTGGTGATCATGCCACTTTTTCAGCAAGGCATCTGGCGTCTTCAGACTGGGAAGTCCCTCGAACTTGTTTTTCGGGCACCATGTCAGTGTGAGCAGGGCTGGTTGAGGAGGCGCTGCCTCCATGCGCTCTGCCGGGATGTTTTCTGGCGGCAATGTTGCAGAGTTTGGCAACGGAAACTCACCCCTCAAAAAGCCAGATGTCAAGAAATCTTCAAGGCACTCTTGGCTCCAATCTTTCTTGCAATCGTCCATGCTGAAACCCAAGTAAAACAAAGGCATGGAAAGCTGGCCTCCAAAGGCTTCACAAATCGCAGCTTTGGCCACATCACATGTGTGGGTACTCAAATCCACGATCAGCAGTGCCGTTCGCATACCTCCGGGCCCCTGCAGGCCCTGTGTGAAACCTTGCAGGATCTTTCTACCCGCGTCGCAGCCGATTTGCTGGGCTTTCTCTGGAGGATTGATATGCGTCGTTGCGTCGGTGGTTGATGGAACTGCATCAACATCCATGCTTTCAATCACTGCTAGGTTGCGGGTCAAAACCAGCTCGGCCTCTTCAGCTAGGGGCTTCCGGAACAATGGAACAGAGCGCCACAGATTCACAGTTTTGAGTGCCAAATCATCCTCCATGGACAGAAGGACCCGGCCGGGAAGAACTAATGTCCTGCGCAGCGCAAGCTAAGAAAAGAGAACAGATGAAAACAATATTGATAACAAAACTGTGGAGTTTTGTGCCGTGTCTATG